ATATTGAGGTATATTTATTATACACGGTATTCAAAATTAAGTATTAATCACATGTGCATTTGTGTATACTATATACCCTGTGCTACAGTGTCTTTTCCAAAAAAATGACTAGGAAAATTCTTAATTTTCTACTGCACATTGATACTATTGTAGTGCTTAATTGTCACATGCTGTTCAGCCACTTAGCATACACATAATGTAATTTGTGGGAAGCCCAGTGGGTATAGTGTACTGTACAATACTACAATCAGAGGATTTGCTCTTTCAATAAATGTCATTATTATTCTTATTGTAGGATTTCAAGAAATATTGTGTGCAGATAAGAGTAAAGTTTCATAGTGAGGAGTCATTGCATGTATTGAATGCACGTCATCAGAGTGGAGGAGAGAGGAGTGTCTCTACCATGTTGTACCTCATGGCATTACAAGATATCACTAATTGTCCTTTTAGAGTAGTTGATGAGATAAATCAGGTGAGAGGATTATTAGTGAGAGAGGATTATTAGTGAGAGAGTGTTATTAATATATTCATTGAGCATATTGTATATATACAGGGAATGGATTCTATTAATGAGAGTTCAGTTTTCAATCAGATAGTCAGGACTGTAAATCAAAGAGACACTCCACAATACTTTGTACTTACACCAAAGGTAATGATAATATAACAACTAGACTCTACCACAAAAACATGACAAGATACATTTATGTACATGTAGAAGCTGAACATTATATGCACTATAAGATCGAGTGTATTGTATAATGACCAATTATTGGATGTACATTGTATCTACATTTGAGCTTGAGTCCTTCAGACTATGTATGAGCTTATGATAATAGGAAGAGTGTGCATGAATGTCAGTGTTAGTCAAAAGTAATGTTTTGTTTCTCTCTCTCTAGTTATTACAAGGTCTTGATTATTCAGATTCAGTTACTGTTCATATCATTCATAATGGTTTACATATGTCACCTGATGTATGGGACAAGAAGTGTTTTTTGAGCAAAAAGCTTACCTCTTGAATTATTTGATTCTCCACTTTCAGGTGATATTACAGTATTATTAGGAGAGACATCTCTTCTAGCAACTGGCAAACTTTCCGCATTACCACTTGAGTTGCTTCCTATAGATACATACATGTATAATGTTCATAATGATTCCAAATATGGGAAGTTACCTCCAGTAGTGTTCATTGGTGTTTGCAAATTATCATTATAAGTCAAATATACCCACAAACTCACTTAGTTCTTTATTGCCCACTCAAAAGGGGGTATCTCATATAAGGTGTGTGGCTATGTATGCGTATGCATGCTGCACAGCAAAACAAAGGTCTTTGCAAAAAAATTAAATTGACTATAAATCAGTCACCAAATCTGTCATCGGAGTCAATTATGTTGCGTGCCCTCTATAATTATGTATAGAATAATTGGTAGTTTAATAGTTAATTCTGGTATTAAGCTTATACTTATTTTTGTTACATATTCTCAAAAAAATGTACAAGACCACAATATTGCAGGTATCAGGTCGCATCAAGAGATAAACCTTGATTTAAGACCAATGATTTAGCCAGACTCCAGAGTTTACTGTTAATTTAGTAAACATCAGTGCGGGAAGAGAACTCTTGAACAGTGATAAACAGTGATAAACAGCGATAAACATAAAGTAAGCATAAGGTAAACAGTGATGATAAAGAGAGAAATGATTACAATAGTTGGTGTTTTGCTATGGGCCGGGTGAAAACCAGTGTTACCAAATGTTGCTCACTTTACTAACTGATTATGACATTAACTGTTGATTATGAAGAATTTTGGTAAATTGTAATGATAACTTAAATGGGGTGTGAGAGCGCAAAGCATTTGGGTGATTGGGGCTATGCTAATAATCAAAGTACCTTTTAGCTGTACCGTAACAAATTTATTTATACTATTTATACCGCAACAAATACTTATTAACAGAAATACAATTACATGGATTGCTTACCATAGTAGCATAGTAGCCTGGAACTATATTTTGTGGAGTATATGTGCATAGTGTGAATGTAGCAATTATATAGAGAAAGAAAATAAAAAAAATTAGGCATGCATTAATTCCTGTATATCACTGTTTACCTATATTTTCCACTGTATATCACTGTATATCAATGGTTACCACTGTATTGTCAATGTTTATCAGTGTTTAGCCAGTTTACCATTGTATACCATCGTTAGCCTATGTTTACCTGTGTTTAACAAAGTATATCACTGTTTACCTATGTTTTTCACTGTATATTGTGTTTACCTATGTATGCTAGTGCTTACCACTGTTTTGTCAATGTTTACCCTGTATATCATCGTTTACTTATGTTTACCTGTGTTTAACACTGCATGTAAGTCACATGTTTAACACTGTTTACCACTCTTGCCTATGTTTATTACCAAAAATGATTTAGGCCAACTCCAGAGTTTACTGTTAATTTAGTAAACATCAGTGAGAGAAGAGAACTCTATTATCCTAAACAATGATAAACAATGATAAACAGTGATAAACAATGATAAACAGTGATAAACAATAATAAACATAAAAACAGTGATGAAAATGAGTATAACAATGATAAGCAATGATGGACTGAATTGATATCATCACTGAAATCTCATGTGGCATTCAAAACTTAAAATTATTACTGAATACTGTTAAAATTTGTGTTTATTTTTATTTTTACTTTTTCAATGAGTCAAACATTGTCACAAATAAAGATTGAAGGGAATATTATAATAACAAGAGGGCTGATATTCTAAATTCATGTGGAGTTAATCCACATTTAGACCAGACTAATCCACATTCTACACAACCAAGAGTTTGTGATTGAATCATGAATGATGTCAGTCCTGATCCGGCCTAATGTATTTTAAATCATGGATTTTGGGCAGCTAACATTGCAATGAGCCATTCAGCCTTGACACAATCATGATGAGATTCGTACTGGTTCAGCCAGAGCAACATGCATGATTCAGCAATGATACTTGTCAGGCTGTATCAGCACTGTAGTCTGTAGTCAGGCCGCTCAATTCGTTGATTTTGGGCAGTGTCTTCTATCATACCGGTCAGTACGTAGATAGATGCTAGGCGATGTAATGAATAAACGCGCAAGGGCGTGGTAGGCTGTAGACGAGCTAGCTAGACTAGATGGACGTCGACAGAGAAGGCAGGGTAACCTGGTCTCTAAAAGATTCAGATGTGTGGACGACTCAGCATACAGCTGCAGTAGTAGGAAAGGTCCTGTACTGCTGGGGAGGGGACAAGCCGGAAGATTTAGATATTAAGTCGCACAATTCTCCTATAAAGAGACAGTGTACTTCTGCTGTAGATGCTTTTAACTTATTATCTGGTGTTTGGTCCTCTCGACCTACTAGTGGTACTCCTCCGTTGGGTATCATAGGAGTCTCCTGTACCACCATTAATAATAATATTTATTATTTTGGTGGCTATTGTGGCCATGACACCTGCTACCATAACAGTTTGAACTGTTTAGACACTTTGACTCTTCAATGGAATGAATTACAATCCACTGATAACAATTTTGTGACTAAGAGAGGCTATGGTGGTATGATAGTAATGGGAAGTGAAAGTGAACCTCAACAGTTACTGGTTATTGGTGGAATGGCTCCTGTATCAACTACATGCATTACACAATATCATCATCAATTTGAGTACATTAAGATACCTCGTCGGGATGATCGTGTTAGAACTAATGAACAGAATATCTACAACCTGTCCAGTGGTAAGTGACTCATTCAAAAGGTTGATTTAATCACGTTAGTTTTGAACAAGAGTACATGTACTCTTGTTTTGAAATTAAGGCCATGTTTACTCGACTACTGTAAACACCTGAAAGCAGTAATAGCAAAAACAATGCAGTTTGGGCCAGCGTAGTCGTGTAAACAAGGCCTAAATAAATAAGTAAATTGCATTGCTAATAATTGGCCTCGCCTACGCGAGGTATAGGTAGTTGTTGTGTGTGTCTGTCATTCATTCATTCTGTACAAGCGAAATTTGTCTTTAATAAACTATAACTTTAGCATAGTGTGTTCTAAGCTCCTAGATCTTTCTTCTTTACCTTGAAAAGTCTTGCTTAATTGTTTTGTGTTGCTCAAATATCAGCGCTAGGTACAAGAAGCTTCAAAGTGAGAAAATCAAGTATTTGAGTCAAGTTCCGTTGTGTTGGCACTCTAGAGATAGCTGGTAGCATTTTCCAGTAGATTAGAACATGGCCTTCAAAAGATATGAACAGATTTCTCTAAATCTTACTTGGTGAAGAGTTACAGTTGTCCTGGTTCTTGTTTTTTGAAGCGCTGGAGCGACAACCTAGTGGGCTATAGGTACTAAAGTACCTATACTATCTCAAATACATGAAGGCAACAACTTTCTGTCAGCAAGTTTATCATATATTGATGATTAGTAAAGAAAAAGTTAAGCTTCTTTCCCACATGGTCTTCTTGCTGCCATCAGGCCCATCGATCATTGCAGTTGATGATGTAATGCCACACCTTTCAATCTACATGCATGGGAGGGGCTGGAGCTGCTTGCATGCATGTGCTGCAGTGCTGCTACTTCTGCATGTATTCAAGAGCAAGTGCATGCAACTGCAGGAAGCTAGTGTTGAGCAGACTCTCTTCATGCTGATAATCAAACAGCTATTGCAGTGAGGGCATGCACCATAGCAGCTATAGGGGCGAGGCCATGCACCATAGGTGTCTCGTTTGTTCCGGCAGATCATGTTAGCTAATTATGACAAAATGCAATAATTATGTCATATCCTAACAATTACAATTCATTATTATTAAAACTATTTTTTATATTAATTATTATCAATAATTCTATAGTTACATGTACCTCTTTAGGACAATGGACTATTCCATCTGTCAGTGGACAGTGTTGTCCACCAATCAGCAATTTTATAATTGAAAGGATCAATCATAATAAAGGAATTATGTATGGAGGAGCATCGACTGACTGTGGTATTGCTACTAAAGGTATCTACTTGTTTCAATTATCGCATAACAATATAGTAAGTTAACATGCATGCATACATGTAATATAGCATAGTTATATTATATTGACTTTTGCAATCAAGCTAGCACAAAGGCTTCTGCCTCCAGGATAATGCTTGCTTATGATACGCCAGTATGCCTACAGAAACTTTACAACAC